CCTCGAACTCACAGCGATCCGCCTGGCTCTACCTCCCGAGTGCTGGGATTAAAGGCGTGCGCCACCACCGCCCGGCTAATTCCAATTTCTATAGACAATAAAGTACAAACTTCCTTGTGAAAATAGTTGATGATCTCCATTCATTTCTACAAGTCTCCATGGCACTTTACCACTTAATACGTATTATCCTTTTGTTTTTAAATATCACATAAATTAAAACCCATGCTCCTTTCTGTTTTTCATTAATGGCTGTTGTCTTAGCTCTTAGTCTGACACACAGTGCATATTCAAATGTTTATTAAAGAAGCAGGACAAACACCAGAGCAAGGGTATCCAGTACCATTTAAACTGTATCTGGGGAGATGTAGGAAGGGGACAGGTCTTGTTATATAACCCAGGTTTGTCTCAAACCTGTGACCACCTGAATGCTGTTCTTATTTGTGACAATGAAACATGCAATTTGAAGTTAAGAAAAACCCAAATTAGAATAATAGACCTAGGGCTGGGGTTACAGCTTACTGGAACATCACACGCATAGCATGTGAGAGGTGCAGAGTTTGATCCCCCAGCACCAAGAACAAACAAGAAAAAAAAACCCCACCCTCCACCATTTATACCATGCACTAGTACACTGGTTGTTCCACTCCTTTCTTGCTCAGCCTAGTTATACAGTTTCTGTAAGAGAAAAATGATACAATGTCTATCTCATAGGGCTACTGTAAAATGACCAAGGGCTTTATGTGGATATATACATACAAAAGACTTAATACACACAGAATATTATATACAGTCAAATATTAAAGTTTTTTTTAAAAAAAGATTTATTTATTATGTATACAGTGTTCTGCCTGCATGCCAGAAGAGAGCATTGGATCTTATTATAGATGGTTGTAGGCCACCATGTGGTTGCAGGGAATTGAATTCAGGACTTTCGGAAGAGTAGCCAGTGCTCTTAACCTCTGAGCCATCTCTCCAGCCCAAAGCTTTTCAAAATTAAAAAAAAAAAAAAAATTAGATATTAGCTAATCTAAACATTCCAATTTATGAAACATATTACTAAAGCAAAATATATAGATTTCCTAATTGGATATTATAATCTATTTTAATCTAAATAAATATAAAGGAACACTTAGAAGAAAAAGTCTCATTTTTGTACAGCACTACAGAGTAAGATGTATCCTACTTACAGAGGAAAGAACATCAGCACTTTTGGGGTGGGAGTGAGGGGACGACAGGTCCTACGTAGCCTAGGATGGCCTCTCACTCACTTTGTAGCTGAGAATAATTCTAGGATGACAGGTGGGTGCCAGTGCACCTGGTGTATGTAATGCTTGGGATCAAATTCTGGTCTGCATGCACGTCACACAAGCACATCATGAACTGAACAC